TTATCATAGTTTCCATGCATGCCGGAGTTTTCGTGCAACTCATATGATCTCGAATATTACTTTTGATTTTACTTCCCGTTCATTAGCCACGGTAGGTGCCAGTTTCTTTTAGAGTGCTTACAATGTTGTTGTGATACTGTTGTTACACGACCATTTCCTCTTCAGGTCATTGTGCTTAGGTTGAAGCATTCTTCCTTATTTCCTCAGCTAGTCTTTCGTTGTAGTACATAGGGAGACGTTTTGGCTCTTGTGAAGTTACAAGCTTTTTTTATTGTTTACCCGACAGAATTTTTGATCTTCATACTCACCTATAATTATCCTTAGTTACTTACCTCCACACTCATATGCTCGTACGATTTCTTCTGAACTGAAGTTTTGACTGTCTTCCCAGTGGGACTCTCCTTTATTTCCATAACACTCATACGGTATCTTTAACTACCCCAACTCCTATCAGAATATTTCTCAAGGTCACGATGTCATACCTGCGAGACTGAATTCCCCATGTTGGTGTTCACTCTGTTTATCTTGCACGATCTATTGATTGTATCCTCTTGTCTAGCCATAACTAGGCCCTTCCTGAATAAATTTACTAACTACTCATTGGCCCAATATCATATCAATATTCTGCGTAATCTTTCTTCGGTCATTTCCTTTGTCTTAACTTACGTCCCACACTGGCTCCTTATCTATCAATAACATCTCGGGCAAGAACCCTTACTTCCTCTCCTTGATGTCGTGTTTGCAAAATATTCTATAGTTGCTTTACCTCTTCATCTTTGGCGTCTTTTCACAACATCGATGACCCTTACTCGCGTTGCGTTAATCTTTCTTTACCAAGGATAACAAAATTCCTTACTCGCGAGGGTGACACTTAGTAAAACATGCATATACAATCTCTTAAGCTTAACTTTGCTCACATTGGTTGCTTTAGAGAAGCGTCTCCTTGAATGACCATTCTTTGTATTTCTCATGAATCTTCTTTTGTTGTCCATTCTATTATCGCCGGATCGAAACCAAAAATTCTCATGATGTGGACCATTGTCAAGCCACTCAGTCCCTAATTTATGTTTAGTTTATCTTGTTCCAGCCCATACTGATTTCTATTAATCTAGGTCTAACTGTTCCTTCTAGTAGTCGCATTGGAGTCGCAAACTTATTTCTCGAAATGAGGATATGACTTTATGGCCTATAATCTTTTGTTATCTCAAGGCTTGTCACCTCTCGTCTTGTTCGTCACTTGACTATAAACTCTGTAATACTGTCATCTTTTTTATCTACTGTTGTCATCCATGTATCACATTTTACTCATAATGCTTCATTAACTCTCCTCTTATTTTCCTGCTAACATTTATGTCTATCACTTTATTCTGAAAACTTTAACACGACATTCTTTTACTTTTAACTCCTCTTGCTCTATCCACTGGCTCTTCGGGTTGCCTAACATTCTCTCTCTACAAGGAATGGGAGCCTCACTAAGGTAATATTTATTCCTTCCAAGATTCCGGTGCTTGTCTTTGTAATTTTTTTTTAACATTCTAATACTCATAATACCTATAATATTCTAGAGTGCACCATCTGGGTGTCTCACAAGGTGATCTATTAGAACATTTGCAATGTCCTTTGGAAATGTCAACTAACACAAATAATCCATTCACCATTTTGGGTTACTCTAACCCCAGCCGGATCATGATATCCCGTCTTTGTCTTAAACTACACTTGTTAGCCCCTATAGGGCATAACTGAGATGGGTATGGCTGATTGTACATACCTTTGTTACAGTTCGAAGGTTACTCAAAATGCTTATATCTCACTTCCTGAATTGTAAATAATGATCATCTTTACTAACTGGGTACCTCGTAACCTTCTTTATCTTGCTTTTTTTACTTGTTGATATTTATATCTATCTTCTGTCTCTCATTGCCTTTCACCATAGGGGTGGATAGATATTTTGCCTTAAGGCTCCTTATCAAGAAGCTTACACGTCTTAGTACACACATGTTTTGCTGAAGAACTCACATTTATCGATCATAGGAATGATGCAAACTCGAGTTCCTCTAACTCAACTCTTCCACAGCTATATCTCTTACCAACCGTATTTCTGAATTGTAACTAATGATCATCTTCACTAACTGGGTACCTCGTAACCTTCTTCATCTTTCTTCTTTTATTTGTTGATATTTGTATCTATCTTTTTAATCTCTCAAGCCTTTCACTATAGGGGTGGATAGATATTCTTGCCTTAAGGCTCCTTATCAAGAAGCTTACGTCTTAGTACACACATGTTCTGCTGAAGACCTCACATTTATCCATCATAGGAATGACGCAAACTCGAGTTCCTCTAACTCAACTCTTCCACACCTATATCTCTTACTAACCGTATTTCTGGATGTAGGTATCGTTGTATTACGAATATAATAAATTTAGGACTTTGAATTTCTACTACTGAGCTCTACCACACGATCTAGAGTATGAAGAAACAATGATAGTCCTAAATGCTATATCTTCCTGCTTATAAGCATGGTGCACGACACACCCATAAACAAGACTCTACTAGACACGGCTTGTAGACTCCTTAGGAAAGGATTGCTCTGATACCACTTTTGTCACGACACAAACCAATGGGCCACGACGGGCACCCTGTGCCTTACTCAACGGAGTGCCAACATTACGTATCTTTTGTATAATATTATCATAGGTAACTGAACTATAAAGGTAGTCATGAGATAACTAGAATGAAGCATGAGGGAATACTTGATAGAAGAAAGCCCAACATGATATACCGACCTATATATATGACATACGGGCCTATAAGGCTAAAAGGATCACTCGCACACTGAATATAGGACGACAAGGCCATAAAATCTTTCATAGACATGACATCTGTCTACAAGCCTCAAAGAGTACATAAGTATCGTAAAGGTCGGGACAGGCCCCGCCATACCAATCAATACATGTTCTAATCATACTGTCCAAATAAGCAGCTTCGGAGCAAATGGATCGCACCAACACCTTCTGCTGAGAATAGCCTACTTGGAGGACTCTCAACCTGTCTATCGGGACCTGCGGGCATGAAACGCAGCGTCCCTAGGCAAAAGGGACGTCAGTACAAATAATGTACCGAGTATGTAAGGAATGAAAATCAGTAAATAAAAGACATGAGAGAAACATGGAGTAAAAGACTCGACATGTAAGTCTGAATAGCTCTGTGAATCATTTAATATTTAAAATGTCATGCATATGCGTATGAATGTCACACCATGCATAGGTATATGTATACATAACATCATCAAGCCTCTAAGGGCATCCCATCATATCATCTCGGTCACTGTGGGCAAAATCATCAATGTATACCAGCTGATCAGGTGGTTGTGCTTATATAACACCGTAAGCATTTCCCATATCCCATATACATATATATACATGTATACGTGTATATAACACCATCCGCTCATGAGTCAATGTACATGTATAAATGAATGCAACGCATGATAAGTACGTCAATAAAATCTCTCGAAACGTCATAAGACTATTATGCCTCTGATTAATACCATAAAATAAACTTTTTCATGTTACGTATTTTCTGAGAACCATGAACAGATGATAGAATAATAGGACACATGGGGAATCAAGAACATAAGCATCGCTAGAATTTCTATGAATATAGTCATTTATGGAAGTTGTGCATTTGCTCGTCCTGTTTGTATCGTATGGATCATGCCAAAAGGAAAGAATGGATAGCCTTAACATACTTGAGCCAATTCTCCTGGCAATCCCTCTAGCATACGTCAATCGCGACGAAACACGTAACGGCAAATCGAAGTAGGGGGAAATCCGTATGATATTCTTGAGAAAGATTGCACCGTACTCCCTTAGAATCGCAAAATCTCGTTGCTATTACGCAATATAATCTCGTATCAATCATGTTGTAGAAAATCCATTGCTTAGCGAGCTTAGCATCACCCCTTAATGAAGTAAAGCGATCCCTTAAAAATGAGAGCTACATCCGTTACTTTGTATCAACATATAAGCACCTCTCTTTGTGGATTAGATAGGTCTTATAACTTAGTGGTGTGGGGCCCACTTAGATGATGATTAATCCACAAACTCTCTTATTATGCCACCTTATTATAAGGATTTAAGAGTCACACTCCCCTAAAGCCTTGGCTGCCACGTTAAGGTTTATCAACTTTATCCAAAGATTTGAATTAATTAGTTAATCTCCCACTAAAAATCAATAATTACCCAATTATCCATATAATAAAGAATTATCTCAAATTTCTTAAAATATTACTCACTTTTAACATACTTTATACACCTTAATATCATGGTCATGCAGTACATTGTATGGTACTAGTTCATAAATATGAGGTATTATAGCTTGGACCGTATTGTATCCCAAAATGTCAAACTTCGACGAAACTCATTTTCTTCGATTCGCTTACCCTCTCACCTTCACGAATTTACTTATCACTTGTTTGAAATAGCATAATGCTTATAATTTCAAAATAATCTCATTCCCGAACTTACGTCGATTAACTTACGACGAAACTTTAACGTACGAAAACGCGGAATGAAACATCTCATTTCCGAGCTTTCATCAATTTACTTATGGCGTACTTTCACGTACGAAAATATGGGGTGTAACACTTACATCCTCCCCCACTTAATATCATTCTTCCTCGAATGAGGGTCAAATTACTATTAGCATCCGTTGCGACTCAGATGCCATACCACACACTAGCAGACCCAAATTTTGACTAACTCCCTAAATTTCAAACAAATTCACCAGAGTTTCCCTTGTAACATGGCCTATCCACCTGCTAGAGAACCCCAGAAACAAATCCTAACAACATATACATAATCCAATAACGTAACATAACACAAGACAACACCAGACGTGGCCTCATAAGTAATATATAACCAAAAGGGAACACCTTTAAAATCAACCACACAAGTGATACAATATTCATAAGCGACAATTTCATAGAAAGATTACATAGCTATTCAAACAAATAGGGATAATTCTTCTTCATCTCTTCCTCGACCTCCCAAGTAGTCTCTTCAACCTGCTGGTTTCTCCATAACACCTTCACAGAGGTAATTTCTTTATTTCTCAACTTTCGGACTTGCCTATTAAGAATGGCACCCGGAATTTCTTCATATGTCAGTTCTTCATTAGCCTCAACAGTCTCAACTGGCATGATAAGCGACGGATCTCCGGCCACTTTCTTCAACATAGATACATGAAATACCAGCTGCACTAATGACATATTAGGTGGCAGCTCAAGCTTGTACGCCACCTGACCAATCCTCTAAATGCTTCTATACGGCCCGACATACCTCGGGCTCAACTTCCCTTTCCTACCAAACCTCTTTATACCCTTCATGGGTGGAAATCTTCAAGAATACCCAATCATCTTCTTTGAACTCCAAATCCCTACGACAAACATCCGAATAGCACTTCTAACGACTATGAGACGTTTTCAACTGATACTTAATGATCTTGACCTTCTCAATAGCCTGATGCTAAGGTCTGGTCCTATAAATTCCGCTTCCCCAATCTCAAATCACCCTATAGTAGATCTACATCTCCTACCATATAAAGACTCGAATGGTGCCATCTGAATACTAGCATGATAACTGTTGTTGTAGGCAAAATCTATTAGTGGCAAATGATCACCCGAGCTACCCTTGAAATCAAGAACACAAGAGCACAACATATCCTCAAGCGTCTGAATTCTCCGCTTTGCTTCCCCGTCAGTCTGTGGGTGGAAGGTCATACGAAGATTCACCTGAGTACCCAAACCTTGCTGAAATTTCTTCCAAAAGTTAGCCGTTAACTGTGACCTCCGATCAGGAATGATAGAAACTGGAGTGCCATGCAACCCGACTATTTATTTGATATACAACTGAGCATACTGTTCTGCTGTGTCGGTAGCCTTAATCGGCAAGAAGTGTGCTGATTTCGTGATTCGATCCGCAATTACCCAAATGGAGTCAAACTTGCGTGGAGTGCGCATAGTCCTACCACAAAGTCGATATTAATCATCTCCCACTTCCACATTGGAATTTCTATATTCTGTGCCAACCCACCGGGCCGTTGGTGTTCGACCTTTACTTGCTAAGAACTGGGACATCTTGCCACAAAGTCTGCTATATTCCTCTTTATATTGTTCCACCACTAAACTTACTTAAGATCATGGCACATTTTTGTAGAGCCCAGGTGTACGGAATACCTAGAAGTGTGAGCCTCGATCAAGATTCTTTCCCGGAGACCATCTACATTTGGAACACATAGCCGCCCTTGGTACCATAGTGTACCATCATCCATGCAAAGAGAAAAAGCCATAGTCCTATGTTTATGAGTCCCCTCCTTCAATTGTACTAAATCATTGTATTGCTTCTCTTTGACCTCCACCACAAGCAATGATTTCGCCCTATTTTGCACAATTACCCCACCATCACTAGAGTCCGCAAGACGAACTCCCAAACTAGCCAACTAATGAACGTCCTTGGCCAATGGCCTTTGATATGCCCCTAAGTATCCAAACTACCCATATATTTTTGGCTAAGAGCGTCCGCCGCAATATTAGCCTTTCGCGGGCGATATAGGATATTGATGTCGTAATCTTTGAGTAACTCCACCCTTCTTCTCTGACTCTGATTCAGCTCCTTTAGTTTGAAAATATATTGAAGGCTCTTGTAGTCAGTCTTGATTTCAGCTCTTGGAAGCTTTTTCACAAGCATCAGACCATTGAAACTTACTCGCCCTCTACGTCAATTTAGTCAACGGAGAGGCTACGTTAGAGAACCCCTCCACAAACATCCTGTAATACCTCGCTAATCCTAAGAAACTACGAATCTCTGTTAGAGTCGTAGGTCTAGGCCAATTCTTCACGGCTGCAATCTTCTTAGGATCAACCTTAATTCCTTCACTAGAGACGACATGACCCAAGAATGTGACAGATTCAAGCCAAAATTCACATTTCAAAAACTTCGCGTACAACTGGTTTGATGTAAAGTCTGTAGAACTGCCCTAAGATGATCGGCATGGTCCTTTCGATTTCGTGAATATACAAGAATATCTCCAATGAACATTATCAGGAAGGAGTTAAGAAAAGGCTTGAAAACCCAATTCATAAGATCCATAAAAGCTTCTGGGGCAATTGTTAGCCCAAAAGACATTACCAGGAATTCAAAGTGCCCATACTAGGTCCTGAAAGCTGTTTTCGGAATATCCTCCTCCCTGACCTTCAAATGGTGATCCTCGGATCTTAAATCAATTTTGGAGAAGTACGTAGCACACCCCGCAATTGATCAAACAAATCATTTATCCTTTGTAGTGGGTACTTAATTTTTACTACGACATTGTTGAGCTGTCGGTAGTCAATACACATCTGTAGTGACCCATCTTTCTTTCTTACTAAGAGAACTGGTGCTCCCCAAGGCAAAAAACTCGGTTGGATGAAAGCCTTCTCTAACAAATCCTTCAATTGTTCCTTTAGCTCCTTCAATTCTGTCGGTGCCATTCTATAAGGTGGAGTAGATATAGACTGCGTGCCCGGCATCACATCAATCCCAACATCGATCTCCCTGTCCGATGAGATCCCAGGGAGCTCATCTGGAAAGACATCAAGAAATTCATTCAGAACAGGCACAGACTCAAGTGTAGGTGCCTCACCATCGGTGTCCATGACCCAGACCAAATAATAGATACACCCCTTGTTAATCATCTTCGGGGCGTTAAGGTAAGAAATAAACCTACCCTTTGGTACCACATTATCCCCCTTCCATTCAACAACTGGCTCATTTGAAAATTCAAACCTCATAGTTCTAGATCGACAATCAAGCTTGGAGAAATAGGAATAAAGCCAATCCATCCCAATTATTACATCAAAATCAACCATCCCCAATTCAATGAGATCGGCTATGGTATCCCGACCACGCACCGTGATAACACAATCCCTATAAACACACGCGACCATAATAGACTCACCAACCGGAGTAGATACAGATAATGGCTCATGAAGTTGTACTGGTTCTATCCCGTATTCCATAGCAACATAAAGAGTGACATAGGACGAAGTGGAACCAGGATCAATAAGAGCATATATATCATGAGATTGGACAACCAATAAACATGTGACAACATCTGGAGAAGCCTCTTCACTCTGGGAACCACTCATAGCATAGAAACGGGTCCTCCCGAACTCTATGCACTACCCCTAGCTATACCATGCCCTGCATGTGTTGGACCACCACGAGCTGGAGGGGGTGTTGTAGATGTAGTAGCTGCAGAACTGGATGGCTGTGTCGTGCCCTTGCCCGCACCCTAGCGGGACGAACGATAATCTCTCTTAATGTGTCCCCTCAATCCGCACATGTAGTATATGGGTAATGCCATGCCTCGAACTCAGGGAGCGCGACTGGCGCTCAACCGAATGAACCCGGTCAAGCAAGCACGTTAGATACTTTCTACCCAAAGTCACTCATGATTAAAGAGAATACTTTTTTCATTTATTAAACAATAGGGATATCATATAGGCAATACCAATTCATTACCATTAGTTACTTATTTTAATAAGTCTCAAAAAACACGTATTTTCATGGTTTGAAGTGGAACAAGTGATCAAAATACAACATAACTTGTTTAACTTTCCCAGCATCCATATACAACCCGCACTATGTCTACGGACCCTCTAAACAAGGCCCCGACGATACCTCAAAACACAATATACAAGGAATAAAAAGGTACATGACCCCGAAATGAAGTGGGGCTCATCAAGTCTGCTGGGAAGAAGGTGTACCACTACCATTGATCAACGCCGCCTTCTATGGAACCACCTGCATACATTAAAGATGCAGCACCCCGGTAAAAAGGAAATTAGTATATATAGAATATTACTAGTATGTATAACTAAACTCCCTCTCAATATAATGGGTAATAAATGCAATAAGAAACAATCATATTTTCAATTAGAAATCTCAAGCGACATCAAATATCAAGTTAGGAGCAAGATAGGCCTTTCAAGTAAACTTTCGTATTTTAGATTGAGAGATCTTAGCACCGATGTTTCACCATTCGTAATACTGCTGTACTTTCGGTATGGAGTCTGGTCACGACCCGATCGGCTAGACCGTCTCATCCTAGACATCAACCACGATCACAATTTCGAGTACAAGTTTAGACACAATCACCACCATGTGTGCGGCATGGCGTCCGATCACGACCCGATCGGCTAAGCCGTCTCATCCGAGACATCATCCTTTTCTATCAATCATCCCATTTCACACTTCATTCACAACTCCTCATTTTTATTTGCACTAGTGGTCACAATTGCTTTATTTCTCTTAGCACGTTGGTCGTGCTTCATATTTCACATTCCATGTTTCTCAATTTCACATTTCATGTTTCGTATTTCATGTAAACCTTTTCACTTTCAACCATCATCATGGATTTCCAAAAACAAGGCATAGTTATTCAAGACATTTAAGCACACATATGAGCAAATGTGAGTCTTAAGCACTTTAAGATTTCTTACACAATTGTCATTAGTTTTAATTTGAAACAAAACTTGAAGTCATGGCATTTAGATATGCAACCCATACTTTGAACACAAACTCAAATAGTAGTACAACATAACAAGAGCATTTGAATTACATATTGAACACGGATGTCTTTTGACACAAAGCTTATTTGGAATAAACAATCACAATGAGAAACTCGGAACTTACAACGACATTGTGGGGTTCGATTCTAAGAGAAGAGTTTAGCCAACATACCTCGTTTGAGCTTCCTTAAACTCTAAAATATTCTAGAAATTCTTAGCAACTTTGATCTATTTTAGAAATGTAACAAATTGAACAAAAATTAGGAAGATTTTCATGGTTCTAGCTTATTTGAGCATTTTATCAATCACTAGGTGTGCATTAAGGTTTCAAAGTCCTTCTATGGTGGATTCCATCATCCCACAACCCATTCTTTACCATATTTAGCTCAACAATCTCCCTACACCTCTTGATAACACACATGCATACAAGATGGACAACTCCCACACCCAAGAATTACCTTACTAATTACACATTTCTAGTTATATTTCGAAATTAAGGGTTAGGGTGTGGAATCTAACCTTTTCAGTTGAAGACCTTATGAGTTTCTATAGAAAATCTCCAAGGTTTGAGCAAAAATTGATGAACAATGGCTTAGAATTCCTCTTCTCACTCTAGACCACCCTCCCCTCTCTCTAAATGTAAGTTTTAACCTTCTAAAATAACCCCTAAAAATAGTTATGAGAAGGGGTTCGGGTTATAAAAACCCAAAAATGAAGCTCCGAAACAGAATCCATGGTCGCATATGCGACCAAATAATGCATCTATAGTCCATGAAATGGACCTCCGGAATTGGGCATCTCTACCTGGGTATGCGACCGTTCTGCGGCCTAAAGACCTGTTCTGCGATCACGAAATGCACCACAAAATTTTCCTCTGAGAAACATCCATGTAGGTCATGCGGTTGATGTGCGGCCCGCGAAACGATTGTGCAGTCGCATAATCGACCGTGAAATGTTACCCAAACTATCCCAATTTTCTACTTCACTCTTTGGTCATTCTGCGGCCGCATGTGATCTGCCGAAATGCCCTTTTTCTAAAAAAAATTCCTTTAACTCCCCAGCGCACTGTTCAACCCAATAAGTCCGTACCTCGGCACCACAAAATCCTGGGTTTTAGGTAAAATTTTACGGGGCCTTACAGGTAAGTCCATGTAACATACTCCTGTGTGCATCTTTCTACACCTAGGGCATTGGGGCCTTCGCTACTGCTGGAATCTTACTCCGGACCGGCGCTGCTGTTGGGGTCCCCTATCGCCCTGATTGAGCCTGAAAAAACTCCACTGCTGCTGGCTGAGCCCTGATGGCGGTGCACTGACAGAAGACTTAGAAAAGGACTAGGACGGCCCTGATGACCTTTCCCTGAGTGCCGACCTACGACCACCACCTCCGGAAGAACCACCAAAGTTGCCTACGGATCGGGCCTTGCTATTACCTTAATGCTCCCTTCTATTTTTCAGTTTACGATTCTCTGTAGCTTGAAAAAATGCCACCATCTTCCCATAGTTCATATCAGAATTCAAAGCAGTTGTAGCAGCCTCATTAATAACCAAGGAACTAAGGCCCTGCATAAACCGGCACACTCTAGCCTCCATAGTGGGCAACATGTGAATAGCATACTTGGACAAGCGCGTGAACTCCATATGGTACTCCCACACACTCTTTCTACCTTGTTTTAGGTTCTCAAACTCAGTAGCACGGGCTGCCTTAGTCTCGGCAGGCAAGAAACGATAAATGAAAG